GACCAATGTCTTTGCAGTGGACTTCAATGCCCACTCCCTGCCTGGGGTACCGCTGGCAGATCTCCCGATATTCTCCCAGCCTCTTGTCAAGGAGCTTGTAGGGCATGTCGTTAATGTAGCCACACTTTCCCAGGCCTTTAGGAACAGGTGCGACCAAGTTGCCAGCTCTCTTCTCGATCACGCTTTCCTGGACCCTGTACAGCGTTTCTGTCTCCTTCATGATTGGGTGCCATAGAGACAATTCCAGGTCGCTTAGCAGCTTCAAAATACGATTCAGCTCATGTTGTGTGATCCAGCTGTTACAAAAAGAGAGATACGCACCAAAGCCCATGCCGGTCGCTACAGCGTGACCGTGGAGCATCCCTGAAGCGAGCTCGTAACCAGCACTCCATGTGTGACCATATGCGTGTGGTCGGCACTGGTGGGTTTCCCATATATTGCTGTACTCGGATCTCATGTAACTGCAATAAAAACAACTACACAGATAAACCTATTGCATAGAGCGGTTTTCAATTGAGTCTCGAAAGCAAGAGTCTATTGTCTAAAGTAATCAGGCAGTTTCTTTGTTTTTGGTTTTGGTCTTACTACGGTATGAGATTGGCTGAATAGTCAAAGGTAAGGGATTGGTTCTGACGTTTGGTTTTGGTTTTGCGACGCTCGATTAAAAACCGCTGCAACACTGAAACAGTGTTTTATGTGGAAGATAATCTACTTGAAGCTCGGTTTCAAAGAATATAGTGACATGAGCAATAGACGTTATAGCGCCATACAGTTGATTCGTGGCCTAAAAAATTGTACTCCCTAACAAACCAGTCAAAATATTTTACATACTATTCAAGAGCTTTGCCAATAATGAGATCGCAGACATTTTCAAATGCCTTCTTATCCCCTTGGAAGTCTTGCATCTCTATGCCAAACTTAGTACTCAAAAGATTGGTCGCTTCTTGCTCTAACAGGCAGAAAAGATCCTCGTCCTTAACCACCGCTATCTTGACGATTTCAGCGATACCATGACGCAGGCAGCCGCGATGTAGCGTGTGAAAGAAGCTTCTGTCCGTCAACGTCAGAACAGGGGGATGATACGACCCAAACAGGTTTTTGAAACCGAATCCGTCGCACCCTGTGCGAGGGGACAGTCCAGCGTCGATGCCAGCCACAACGCTTGTTGATAGCATGATGTAAGGTGTATTACGATGGTAGAGAGAGGTGGCACAGCCAATAACGTCATGTATGACGCCTCCACCGACAACAAGAACAGGTTCATTTCTCTTGAGTCGCAACTTCCTCAGCTGAACTAAGACATTCTGCACTGTGGTTATATCTTTGTCAACTTCGCTGGCAGGGATGACAACCTTTTGCAGCTTCACGGAATTCGCGTCAAAATAAGTCTGTATTGCCTCGCCATAGGTGTTTTCGACTTTGTTGTCAATAACTGCTACACACCTGGTGGTGAAAAGAAAATTTTAAAAGACTCTTAAAAAGTTTATATGAAGGGTACAAGTAGGCTCTAAAATTGGGAGAACTAGCTCATCGAGACATCCACTATTTGGGGAGCTTTATCCTAAAACCCGCAGAAAATACTCTACTGATCACGTCGTTTGCGAGCGGTGTCTTTGCGGGCAGGATCTTCGCAGTCTTGCCACGGGAAGAGCGTGCTCTCCCGTATTATGCTCAAAGGATTGAGTTTTTCCTTTTTCACTCGTAGAGTTCGTCGAGCGAATCATGTCGTCGGGGCCATGCCATGCCATACCATGGCCATGCCAAGTCGTGCCGTGTCATGAGTACTACGGCTGAGCTAAGCTACGCTAACCAGCTAGGCTATGCTAGCTATGCTACGTTATGCTATGCTAACCTATGCTATGCTATGCTGTACTGTGTAATGTTATGCCAAGCTATTTTATGCTGAGCTAAGCTAAGAGCTGAGCTGTGATGGGCCACTTGGCTCGTATACGAACTTTACCTACCTTCCAAGTGGCCGATACACATTTTTTAACTCTGGGTTGGTTGGGTTCAACACTTCGTAAACAATCTTAGCAGTCGTCGTCAGAGTATATCTCATGGTGCACTCCACCAGAGATGCGTCGGGTTTGGCCACAATGTCTCCCTCACACCTGCGATAAATAGATGTAGGGTATACGGCGTGCGGATCGACCATCAACAGATGTTCTTCATTCTCCAAGTAGCATTCCGGGCAGCCTCTTTCTTGGAGTAAACGTCGCACTGGCATTGTACCAGTTGTGGAATCGGCGGCAAACAACTCGACGATTTCGTTCCATTTTGAAATTGCTTCAGCATCGGCATCAGTTCTGAAACAAACAACAGGATCAAATCGCCTTATGGAGCGTGCGTATAAGCTAGGTTGTTAATCAATGCAAATTACATAATCATGCTTAGAAAAATTAAACAGAAGTGAAAAAAGTAATTGGTCTGGTTCACAGATGAAATGCCCGGGTTCAAAAAGCGTTCCAACTTTCTTAGGAGTATTCATACATGATTGTTAAAAGAAAGTGAAAATTATATTCATACATATCAACTGTACTTGGGACGTTCACAAATCAATGAATTTACCCATGTTAGCGCGTCATAGAAAATAGTAATATGACGTAAATTACAAGTTTTGGAACTGCAAGAGGTTAGTGCAGATAAGTGTCGCTGAAGTTACCATGGTGATTTGTAGGATTTGTGTTACTTACCTTGGCACCAGACTAGCAAGTTGCTGGAGTACCGCGACGGTTGGCTGATTGTAGAAATACTTAAGTTTCCTGATGAGCAGGAGCGACTCCAGATCACTGCTGAAAGAGCTTGCCAGCTCTTTGGAGAACACATCTAAGCGAGATAAGCGGATGAGAAAGTCGCTGATAATCGGGTGGGCGAAGATTCTCTGAGCGAGCTCTTTCACGGGTAGTGACGAGCCATTCAAAAATTCCCAAGGAAGCTGCCCAAGAGACTTGACCGCCTCGTACACTGCATTCTGGTAAAGGAAGAAAAATAGAGAATTTACATGACTTCAATGTACTACCAATTTGTTGGAGCATAAAAATCATAGTCAAGATTTGTTCAGTTGCGAAAGAAGAAACTGAGAACTTGCAGCTTTACATATCCAGAACTCAAAACAATTTCCTTTGTATTTGCCATTGAGTCATTTACTATCGGTTATTTCGAACTCCCACTATTTCGAACTAATTTCCGTTTCTCCTGAGGGTTCGAAATAGCGGGGTTCAACTGTAAATGTACAACAAAATCGAAAGAATGAAGCAGAAATGCAGGCAAAAAAAATCCGCTAAGCAGATCTGATCTAGGCAATTGCGACTCCGAAGGTAAAATATAAACTCATTTTATTTTTTTTTTCTCGGCGTCGTCCTCGGCGTCGCCGTCGTCATTGCTTAAGGCCCCTTCAGCTCTCTGGTGACGCTTTATAATTACGGAATCGATATCAACTAAGTACAGGTGACAGGAGCCCATGGCCATGGCTCCTGATAAATATCATACCTTTTCGTTTTCGGCTGTAGTCTTAGAACCGTCCTTTTCTGTGTCTACACTGCCCGTCTGCTCAGACATATTCTTCAACATCACGGACCTTAAATTTTCTTGTTTATATGCGATTTAATGACTAGATTTTAGAACCTACAAAAGAAAAATGAAGTTAGATTTGACCTAATACTGAGCTAAGGGCGATGGAATAACTCGTATAGGTAATTCGTGTAATCCATTGCTTTTTGCTACCAATGTTTGGTGTTGTCAACGTACGTTACAAGAGAACTAATTCTAACATTAATTCACTTAACATTAGTAGAATTCAACTCGTATACTAGTCCAAAGATGAACATCTTGCAGTCATGGCGAAAATATATGAGTTCGTGCGGGAATATTTACGACCCCTATTAGGAAGTAAAATTTAATATTGCCAACTTCTCAATTAAAATACCTCATCTTATTTCCACAGTGTATCGCTTGTTGTCTGACCGCTTACGTTTCCGAAACGAGGCCATTTTAGCGAGTTAACGCTTCCAAGGTTTCCCACTTTCTTTCAGGAACGAAATTTTAAACCTTGTCANAAAAAAAAACAAAACAAAACAAAAAGAAAGAAAAGAAAAGAAAAACAAAGAATGATTATCCATAAGAACAGGGGTAAAGGGATCGCTGGTACAAGCGGTTAATAGGAGAAAAGGTTCAAGCACCGCCAATCACTTCGAAATAATTCTGAGTTTTCACGCAATCGTTGACAAATTTATTAAAATTTCCAAACTATAACCTGCAAAAGTCTCTGAGGTTCATCTTTAAGTTCCAGCTGATAACCGAGAGTGCAGCACCCCATCTGGTCCCTGTACCTTAGGGTTAAGGGAAGCCACGTGCTTGACAGGTAGGCATCAACATATATATTTCAGCCGGAAGTCGATCCCATATTTTCAGACTTTCAATCAAAGCACTCTTCAAGGATCGCCGCTTCCCAGCTGCTGGTCAAGGGGTGCAAAAGCTGGGTACGAAAGTGGTGGGCCGGCGTAAAAAAGACCGATATTAATTGCCTTGAGAATTGAAGGCCGTTTGGCCTCACCTGACGTGGAAGAATGATCTCAGATTTAAGGCGAGTAAAATGCTTTTCTGGAACAAGTAGCTAACAAGTTGCTGACATTGTTATTCAGTTGATTTGAATTGCATTTTAGACCTCTACATTACAAAACATTCCCTGCGGAAAAACGCAGTTAAACACCCAATCAAATCAGCTCTGAGTAACTTTATTTATTGCTGTTAAATGAAGTTAGCTATTAATATGTGTCAGTCCGCAGACTGATTAACATTAAAATCATTTTGAGTGTAGAACGATCTTCCTTATTTGTGTTGTTACATAGAGATAGTGGAATCATTGTTCTAGCAAAGCATTGTACAAATGGAAGCTACAGAAAGTTTTCACTCGTGTCACGCGCCAGCAGCCATGCAAATTTATTAGAACAAAAAAAAGTTTTTACAAAAGAAAAGAGTTCAACTCCCACGGGATTGGTTTGTACACCAAAATGGCCGCCTTTTTATTGTTTTGGGAACACCAATATGGCCAATATGGCTGTGATGTCATGTGAAAACAATCTATAAAGCAGAAAATATATCATCAACACGAAGTCTCCTACTACTTGTTATGTTTTGGATTCACAAGAATTGCAATCAAATTTTTCATAAGAATTCGTTCAAGGACAAGAAAACAAAACAAGACTGCAGTTATAAACTAAGAAAATTAAAAAAATAGCCACTCCGACATAGTCATTTATTAGCAGTAAATTGACTCTCTTGGATCCTTTGCTGCATTCAGTTTTGCCAAAAGGTAACAGTGCTGAAATGATCACAAAGCACCTTAAATCGTAGACAAAATACTCCTAGAACACCGTGACCCTAAGTCTGCCACAACCTGGCGCATGCGTAACCCATTATAGCGGCCATTTTTACGACTTCAGTGCACTTATTTAGTGACTTGTAAAAAAACTTGTTCATAATTTTTAGGTTTCTAGCAATTAGCATATGTCTTTTAGGTTTTGACATTCGAAGTCATTTTCATGACAAAGGCTCCATAATGATCCTGACTATGATCAGAGCATGCAAAAAGTACTATATTCACTGAATACTGTAGTATAAGACTGAAATGGATTCTTTCTAAATGTCTGTTTCTTTGAACGGTGTCCTCAGTCCCTGTAATGTATCAAGAAAATAGCACTGCAATAATTACAGACGGCATTGAAGGGCAAGATAAAATAAAGTTGAACATATACTTTACTCCATGGACTTAAATGCTCCTACGTCGACTTCAACCATTTTTGCTGACGTGTTGACAACTGCGGTTTTTAGATATTCATAGTAAATACTAAGTGATAGAAAATCTTTGAGACAAAACTAAAACAGGGTAACTTGTAGGTGAAATTATTGCGTGTGCACCTTTCCGCGTGTTTTCCTTACGTGATATTGAATAACATCAGTGTCTTCCACTGTTTAGAGCTTTAAAGATAAATCACAAGTAATGCCATGATTTTAACGTAGACATCCGCATCTGCTTATCGCCATATGTTTGCAACGTGTTGCTAGGCAACCTTTTTTCCTGTAAGAAACAGCGAGTTTCGATCGTGTACTAGGGCCAGGAATGATTCTATATTGCATGTTTCGCGACAGTCTTTCTATCCTAACGAAACCGCGGAATGATTATATGTGACATGCTGCTCGACAATTGCGAGGTTCGTACACATAGAGACGGGAATGATTCTATATTTACCATGGAACCCCGTGATCAGTGATACCTTTCTTTATTCTTCCATTTTCTCATTATATTGCAAGCAATTTTTCAAAGCACCATCCTGGACGTCGTCCTTGGGAAGGTCTTTGTTGACGTTTCCCACAGTGGCTGGATCATCAAGACCAATATCTTTGCAGTGGACTTCAATGCCCACTCCCTGCCTGGGGTACCGCTGGCAGATCTCCCGATATTCTCCCAGCCTCTTGTCAAGGAGCTTGTAGGGCATGTCGTTAATGTAGCCACACTTTCCCAGGCCTTTAGGAACAGGTGCGACCAAGTTGCCAGCTCTCTTCTCGATCACGCTTTCCTGGACCCTGTACAGCGTTTCTGTCTCCTTCATGATTGGGTGCCATAGAGACAATTCCAGGTCGCTTAGCAGCTTCAAAATACGATTCAGCTCATGTTGTGTGATCCAGCTGTTACAAAAAGAGAGATACGCACCAAAGCCCATGCCGGTCGCTACAGCATGACCGTGGAGCATCCCTGAAGCGAGCTCGTAACCAGCACTCCATGTGTGACCATATGCGTGTGGTCGGCACTGGTGGGTTTCCCATATATTGCTGTACTCGGATCTCATGTAACTGCAATAAAAACAACTACACAGATAAACCTATTGCATAGAGCGGTTTTCAATTGAGTCTCGAAAGCAAGAGTCTATTGTCTAAAGTAATCAGGCAGTTTCTTTGTTTTTGGTTTTGGTCTTACTACGGTATGAGATTGGCTGAATAGTCAAAGGTAAGGGATTGGTTCTGACGTTTGGTTTTGGTTTTGCGACGCTCGATTAAAAACCGCTGCAACACTGAAACAGTGTTTTATGTGGAAGATAATCTACTTGAAGCTCGGTTTCAAAGAATATAGTGACATGAGCAATAGACGTTATAGCGCCATACAGTTGATTCGTGGCCTAAAAAATTGTACTCCCTAACAAACCAGTCAAAATATTTTACATACTATTCAAGAGCTTTGCCAATAATGAGATCGCAGACATTTTCAAATGCCTTCTTATCCCCTTGGAAGTCTTGCATCTCTATGCCAAACTTAGTACTCAAAAGATTGGTCGCTTCTTGCTCTAACAGGCAGAAAAGATCCTCGTCCTTAACCACCGCTATCTTGACGATTTCAGCGATACCATGACGCAGGCAGCCGCGATGTAGCGTGTGAAAGAAGCTTCTGTCCGTCAACGTCAGAACAGGGGGATGATACGACCCAAACAGGTTTTTGAAACCGAATCCGTCGCACCCTGTGCGAGGGGACAGTCCAGCGTCGATGCCAGCCACAACGCTTGTTGATAGCATGATGTAAGGTGTATTACGATGGTAGAGAGAGGTGGCACAGCCAATAACGTCATGTATGACGCCTCCACCGACAACAAGAACAGGTTCATTTCTCTTGAGTCGCAACTTCCTCAGCTGAACTAAGACATTCTGCACTGTGGTTATATCTTTGTCAACTTCGCTGGCAGGGATGACAACCTTTTGCAGCTTCACGGAATTCGCGTCAAAATAAGTCTGTATTGCCTCGCCATAGGTGTTTTCGACTTTGTTGTCAATAACTGCTACACACCTGGTGGTGAAAAGAAAATTTTAAAAGACTCTTAAAAAGTTTATATGAAGGGTACAAGTAAGCTCTAAAATTGGGAGAACTAGCTCATCGAGACATCCACTATTTGGGGAGCTTTATCCTAAAACCCGCAGAAAACACTCTACTGATCACGTCGTTTGCGAGCGGTGTCTTTGCGGGCAGGATCTTCGCAGTCTTGCCACGGGAAGAGCGTGCTCTCCCGTATTATGCTCAAAGGATTGAGTTTTTCCTTTTTCACTCGTAGAGTTCGTCGAGCGAATCATGTCGTCGGGGCCATGCCATGCCATACCATGGCCATGCCAAGTCGTGCCGTGTCATGAGTACTACGGCTGAGCTAAGCTACGCTAACCAGCTAGGCTATGCTAGCTATGCTACGTTATGCTATGCTAACCTATGCTATGCTATGCTGTACTGTGTAATGTTATGCCAAGCTATTTTATGCTGAGCTAAGCTAAGAGCTGAGCTGTGATGGGCCACTTGGCTCGTATACGAACTTTACCTACCTTCCAAGTGGCCGATACACATTTTTTAACTCTGGGTTGGTTGGGTTCAACACTTCGTAAACAATCTTAGCAGTCGTCGTCAGAGTATATCTCATGGTGCACTCCACCAGAGATGCGTCGGGTTTGGCCACAATGTCTCCCTCACACCTGCGATAAATAGATGTAGGGTATACGGCGTGCGGATCGACCATCAACAGATGTTCTTCATTCTCCAAGTAGCATTCCGGGCAGCCTCTTTCTTGGAGTAAACGTCGCACTGGCGTTGTACCAGTTGTGGAATCGGCGGCAAACAACTCCACGATTTCGTTCCATTTTGAAATTGCTTCAGCATCGGCATCAGTTCTGAAACAAACAACAGGATCAAATCGCCTTATGGAGCGTGCGTATAAGCTAGGTTGTTAATCAATGCAAATTACATAATCATGCTTAGAAAAATTAAACAGAAGTGAAAAAAGTAATTGGTCTGGTTCACAGATGAAATGCCCGGGTTCAAAAAGCGTTCCAACTTTCTTAGGAGTATTCATACATGATTGTTAAAAGAAAGTGAAAATTATATTCATACATATCAACTGTACTTGGGACGTTCACAAATCAATGAATTTACCCATGTTAGCGCGTCATAGAAAATAGTAATATGACGTAAATTACAAGTTTTGGAACTGCAAGAGGTTAGTGCAGATAAGTGTCGCTGAAGTTACCATGGTGATTTGTAGGATTTGTGTTACTTACCTTGGCACCAGACTAGCAAGTTGCTGGAGTACCGCGACGGTTGGCTGATTGTAGAAATACTTAAGTTTCCTGATGAGCAGGAGCGACTCCAGATCACTGCTGAAAGAGCTTGCCAGCTCTTTGGAGAACACATCTAAGCGAGATAAGCGGATGAGAAAGTCGCTGATAATCGGGTGGGCGAAGATTCTCTGAGCGAGCTCTTTCACGGGTAGTGACGAGCCATTCAAAAATTCCCAAGGAAGCTGCCCAAGAGACTTGACCGCCTCGTACACTGCATTCTGGTAAAGGAAGAAAAATAGAGAATTTACATGACTTCAATGTACTACCAATTTGTTGGAGCATAAAAATCATAGTCAAGATTTGTTCAGTTGCGAAAGAAGAAACTGAGAACTTGCAGCTTTACATATCCAGAACTCAAAACAATTTCCTTTGTATTTGCCATTGAGTCATTTACTATCGGTTATTTCGAACTCCCACTATTTCGAACTAATTTCCGTTTCTCCTGAGGGTTCGAAATAGCGGGGTTCAACTGTAAATGTACAACAAAATCGAAAGAATGAAGCAGAAATGCAGGCAAAAAAAATCCGCTAAGCAGATCTGATCTAGGCAATTGCGACTCCGAAGGTAAAATATAAACTCATTTTATTTTTTTTTTCTCGGCGTCGTCCTCGGCGTCGCCGTCGTCATTGCTTAAGGCCCCTTCAGCTCTCTGGTGACGCTTTATAATTACGGAATCGATATCAACTAAGTACAGGTGACAGGAGCCCATGGCCATGGCTCCTGATAAATATCATACCTTTTCGTTTTCGGCTGTAGTCTTAGAACCGTCCTTTTCTGTGTCTACACTGCCCGTCTGCTCAGACATATTCTTCAACATCACGGACCTTAAATTTTCTTGTTTATATGCGATTTAATGACTAGATTTTAGAACCTACAAAAGAAAAATGAAGTTAGATTTGACCTAATACTGAGCTAAGGGCGATGGAATAACTCGTATAGGTAATTCGTGTAATCCATTGCTTTTTGCTACCAATGTTTGGTGTTGTCAACGTACGTTACAAGAGAACTAATTCTAACATTAATTCACTTAACATTAGTAGAATTCAACTCGTATACTAGTCCAAAGATGAACACCTTGCAGTCATGGCGAAAATATATGAGTTCGTGCGGGAATATTTACGACCCCTATTAGGAAGTAAAATTTAATATTGCCAACTTCTCAATTAAAATACCTCATCTTATTTCCACAGTGTATCGCTTGTTGTCTGACCGCTTACGTTTCCGAAACGAGGCCATTTTAGCGAGTTAACGCTTCCAAGGTTTCCCACTTTCTTTCAGGAACGAAATTTTAAACCTTGTCATGCAACAATTTTTAAAGGTTTGCAATTCGATGTCGAAGCCTTGTTATCCAAAAGTCGTAAATACGGGTTTTATTATATTTAAGATAGTCAAGAGTTAAATGTGTTTAAAGAACAGAACGAAATGACAAATATTGTTGAATTCCTCCACATTTAAGCCTCCGTCCCGACATGTTTAGAATCGAACAATATATATTAATGAAAAAAGGCAAACATCCCCTAATTCCAGTTATCTAATTAACTTTAGGTCCTTTAGGAAGAGGGAGACGATTGCCTTGAAATTGCAAGCATAGACAAGAATAGCGCAAAAGCCAGCAAACATCATTACTCTTCGATCGTACATTTTCAGCAGGAGTTTTTACAGTCATTCTTTTTTTTAAGAAAAAAATCACAATCCTGGATTCACAGGCCATCCGATCACAGAAAAAAGAGCACAACGTACCTAATTTCGTGTGCAAAGAAAACCTCATAACAACACAACAACATACTTTATTATAGGAAATAAACGCTAGTGTTCATTATCGCATATTTACCGAGACTTAAATTAACGCAAATTGAAGGTAAATTTGCTTCCCAATAAAGGAGGTTAGGGCGACAGAGAGGGTAAGATTTCAAAATGAGGGAATTAACGCGTCTCCTAGACCAAAAAAAAAAAAACACAGAATTTGTTGAGGACATGAACGAATTTTAACACTATAAAGCTGACAGCGAACATGAAGAAAATTCAGTTGAAGTTCAGTAAACGATTTACCAATGTCAAAGATTGATGTGAAATATATAGGGCGGGAATAAAATTTATTGTTTGGCTGTGTCAAGAATGTCTGGAGTGTGTCACAGATTTGGGGGGGAAATGATGGTAATTTAACGTCGCGGAAATTAACCCGCAACTTAATTAACAACGCGAAAATTAACATTAACATAAATTAACGCGACTTAAACTAAAAGTACCGTAATGCCGGTAGTCTGAAGTTTTCGCAGATTTTGAGTGGAAAGTATTATTCAAACATCTTGACTGTATTCCATGTTTCTCTAGCAATCATTGCCAATTAGCGGCTCTAAAAATCATTTAGGTTTTCTTGTTGGCGAATTTCCCGAGCTTGAGCAAAATGTAAAATTGCATCAGTTTCGACTCTAAAGGTTAATGCACTAAATCCGGCCAACGCTGGCTCAGAAAATTATGAAAGAAAGGTCAGACCTTAAAGCCGAGCCATCTATCTTTTCACTGCCTTAAAATATTCTCAAGAGGTTTAAATATTAATTTTTGGGGGGGCGGGGGGTTGAGATTCTACAACAATTTCTGAGGCAGATATGCGATTTTCTAGTGTATGTGGCCAGTCTTCCGCAGCAAGGCCAAAACAGTCTTCGGAATCTCTTAGCATTCCTAACTATACATATGTTCCTCTTTGGAGGTTTGGATGAGACTTTCGATAGAAATTCGGTAACATTTTCAGGGTTGTGAACTTGTATCGAGAACATAGCGTCGTTGTAGTATGCTCAAAGTCGGGAAATTCGTCTACCAGAAAAACAAGATGAAACATGCAATATTCCGAAGAGGCTTGAATAAGGCTTTCCGGACGACCAAACTATTTGAAAATTTCAGACTGTTGGGTATTTAGTCAATTTAAGACCGCTCCCGGTCCTTCGTTCCTAAATAAGTCGTAGATAGGAAGACCATTTAGAACGTTTTAGGATTTAGCTTTTATATCTATTTATATCTATATTGAATGGAAGTTTTTAATATTATTGTAATTCAACTATTCGCGTCTCTCATAATTTTAGGTTTTTAACTCTTATTATATTGTATGTTTGTATTCATAGTATTGTTCATTTTTCATTAGGTTTGTAATTTTATTTTCCGAGGGCCACAAGTTTATTAGCCTTTGGCTATTAAGACGCTTAACCCTCCTTAAATAAAATCTTTATTTATATTTATTGAAAGACATCCCGTCCTCGATATTCCTTCCGGCGACACACTGTAAAAGGTTTTTAAAACTATGTAAAAACTGTAAGTACACCAGGCTGAAATGTTTGCACGTCCTCATGTAAGCAAAGTAAGCGCCCTAATTTTGTCATCAAAATTCTCGTGTTTGGCTGGGTTTTGTTACATTTACGTGAACACTATACGACCTTCCACTAACCTCTTCCGGGGATCATGCACGCAATCGGACGAGGCAATTATTGAGAATTAAAGCTTTTAGCCAGGATTTTTTTTTTTTTTTTTTGAAGGAAAAGCCGTCCAAATATCTTTTGTTTACTCCTGAGAGACTATGGATCTTGCGCCGTGACGCTGGGGAACCAAGAAAACATGTATGGTGTGACTCCACCGGACGAAATAAAGAAAAACTCGGAGACATACGTGGGTGGGAATCAAAGAGGACATTATGGAAAGCTATTGCTACACATGCAATAATCGCTCAGATTTAAAAGTAATTTTTTTTTTTTTATTTTAGTGATTCTCTCAATAGAATCTGAGGATTTGATTCAGTTTGGGCTTTTTCATACATAGTTCACTAAGATGCGTAGTCAAAACAACATATCCACGTAAAATGGATGGATTTTGTCCCAGTTGCCCAGCATGAATTCTTTCGTCTTGCCAACTTTTCCTTTTAACCTTGGTTTATAATATTAAGAAAACCTTTAATCCAATTTTATGAACGAGCTGAACTTCCGGGACATCGGGAAGCTCGCGAAGCACTCGCGTCATGCAACAATTTATTTTCAGTGAAATAGATACGCTGGCTTTCTCAGATTTAAAAACAAACAACAATTTTCACTGAGCAAAAATATACTGAAACCAAGTGGGAATCCAAGCACAGTTTACTTACAGGTCTGGACTACTCAATCGAGTTGCATGAAACTGAATAAATCACACACAGTAAATGAGTTTAATCGTAGCTAACAGAGGGAATGGTTAAGAAAGCAGGTAAATATCAAAGAAGTAAACAAACAGGCGACGATTTACGTTGGAAGGACCTTGACCCCGCACCGTGCAAAAGATAACATATTTTGAGTTTATGCTCATAGACTTTGCACGAATTACATAATCGCAATGCTTCTATTGGTTGGTTGTATGAGCACACATAACCACCTTTTGTATTTTGCCAGGTTTTGTGCATGGTCAACCCCCAAAATAGCCAACAAAAACATACAGCAAAAAACTTTGTTAAGTTTCATAACCATATCCCTCTGTAAACTATGGTTTAATATTTGTCAAGTTTCTTTTTGAATTGGAAGTATTTAAATTTACAGTAATTTTAATTTGCTGTCCGACATACAGGATAATTTATGGAAATAATAAGGTTACATTTAACTTTTCCTCCTGAGAATAAATATCAAAGGCCAACTCTTAACGTCACTCGCAGAGGACGTTGACAGGCTTTGAAGATCTTAATTTTATCGTCGGCCGAGCGCTTTGTTTAACCGATTGGACTGAAAGTCCAACGTGTTGCTGCAAGATGTGCCCTCTACCGTGACCAAAAGCGAAATATGTGAGGAAGGATCTCGGCGTTTAATGTCAAGTCGAGAGAAACTTAAAAATCCTAACGTCTGCTTTGCTTGAGGTAAATTGATCGAGGAATAAAGCGACAATAACAATTCCCAAACTACTGTGCTTGAGGAGGTTGTAATAGCAATTTCTGGCCAAACAAAAGAGAAGTATATCAATATCAAATATTAAATCTCTTTAAAGTAGAACCTGTACACAGGGCATGACTTCGGACTTTTCCAAATTAACGTTATTAAAACTGTCGACAATATGCATATGGTAAAATTTCTTCGCCGACGTGGGTAACTATGTAAACAGAGCTTAAGCTTCTTTTGAGACACCGTGCAGGTTACACCATCAGGTCAGTATCAATTCTCGACTTCTCACCACGAGGTATATTTACTCCGAGCTATGTACAGGTATTTTGTAATTACAATTTCTGTGGTGTTTTATTGTTTAGTTGTGCATACACAATTGAATAACACTAAGGCTTGAAAATTTAAACCACGAATTAGGTACAGTTAGAGACAAAACTAACTTAATTAACACTAACGAGTACTAAACTTTAAAAAAAAAATGAATAAATAAACCGCCTTAAGTCACGCACGAATGAGTGCAGCTGGAATCACTTTCAGCTCTTCTCGCGTTTCTTCCGGCCCGCGGCCCGCGACCCTTCAATTAATTTCAACGTCCACTGGCCTTCCGACCTCACTGTGAAAGCTGAACACGTACTTCTGGATCGTGAAGATCGCTTCAAAACCACCTGAGAAACGGGCAAACAACACAAAATACGGCACGGCAACAAGGGCAGTCTATCTTATTCACGGAAAAGTTGATTTCATTCATTTGAAATAGCACTTTTGTTCTTCCATAACAAAATATCGCTCATACGAAATAGTCACGTTCGTGCTCTTCCGTTACTACTTACACTTCCACTCAAGTTCCACTCCCACTCAGTTCCACTTCCGTTCGCTGAGTCTTATGCTGTGTTTACATTTGAGCTTTTACCAAGGTAAACAGTTACTAAGGTCAAGTTACTTAACCTTCGGAAAATGTTTACCTAGGTAAGTAAACTCTGGTACCTCGGTAAACCGTTCAAGTCTAAACACGGCATAAAAAACCTAAAAAAACCTTAAATTCCGGGAGATCACCTCTTTTACCATCCGTCTCGA